CATTTTTAAAGTCATAGCACTTCTTCATTCCAATCAATTACTGGTACATACCAGAACACATACATGTAGGCATGCAGCTTTTCCACAAATCAAATGATATCTCAATTTAACTTCTGATGTAGTACATTTATGCCACCTTACAATGCCATTGCACAGTCTAGTGCAACTTGGAATTTCTTTGTTACTGATACATTTACATTGCATGTCTGCTTGTACAGGGGTCTTACAAAAGTGATTACTCAGTGATGAACCCGGGCCTTACATCTCTCAATCATCAATATCATTTAACCTGACTCTGGGTGAGCCTGATTACTGATATCTTTTGACCTTGTGTAGGGAAAATTATTTTTGTTCTTGTTTATATTGCAGGATGCTGAGGAAAAAGTTATAATAAAGAACTATGCTGACATTGTTACTGTTCCTGATCCTGAAATGTTAATGGTAAGTATTCAACGGTGAGTTGTGTCAGTGATCCAAGTAAAATCATATATGCTACAAGAACGATGGTAATCAGATACGTGGACAGTACATGTACATGTATGGTTTTGCACTCTTTTTTGAGTGCTTCATTGTAAAGTTGCCATTGAAAACTAACTCCTGCGTCAGCTGTAGGAGGTGTAAATATCCAAAAGTAGACATTAAGCGCCATCGATATATCAATATTATTGGTATGGGTTTGATATTGAAATCGCTGATGCTACCTTTGTTATTTGCTAATATTGATTAATCGAAAATATCAGATTTGAAGAGATCTCAAAAATATAAAAACTTCGAAAACATCGATATTCATACTGAGGAACGAACTTTAAGAAAAAATACGGAAGTGCATCTTCACCCTGCCATAATTTTACATAAGCCATGGCTTACATTGGTTCTCACACTTAATGAAAAATGTCCCTGTAGCGTGTACTCTGGGTGGCTTATACGGCAACATTTGAAGAACAAATTCAGTCACATATCACAGTCTCGCACTCAATCATTTGCGTACACTTTGCCTCAAAAATACATGTATCACAAAATTCATCCTCCAAAACAGAGAATTATTTGCTAACCAAATGTACGTAGACTAGCACCAAATGCTGATGATATTGCTATGCTTGGCAACGTGTATCCCATCCTATTTACAATGTAGGTAACATACGCAATACGGAAGTTAGAACATGTCGCCAAAGTGAATTTGATCACACCTTCACGATGTAGGGGGTTTACCCATAGAACAATTTACCAGCAATTCACACCCGTTATAATACCCTGAAAACTAAAATGAATAAAATTGGATATATCGATAATATCAATATACATGTAAAAAAACCGATACATCGGTATTGGCCAAAATTTTAATATTGGCGGTGCCTAGTAGACATTACTTTTCATTTTGCGGTTTGTGACTACAGCTCAGCTGTTATGTGTGCATAATTCTTCCATAAAGTTGGACTTTTTTGACAATGATACCTTTTAAGTGTGTCAGTTTCCGTGTGTGTTTGTACTCATGACGTTTCGTGCTAAAGATGTTCTGAAAATCTGTAGGAAATTGATATAAAATTGAAGTATGGCTTCTTGGTGACAAACTAGTGGTAACGGAATGTAGAAATTTAGATTCCCATTGAATATGAGTCTCTGAAAATCATTCAGCCATGTCAACAGTTTTTTCATCTAGGATGTCATTATTGCTGTACACTTACTTGACACTCTGTGGAGGTGTCAGTGCAGGTGATAGTCCTTATCATAAAATAACTTCACTGTTTCTGCCGAGGTGGTTACAATATCTAACAGCTGTAATCATAGACCAACCAAGGAAGAGAGCTTTGTACATATGAACGTACATGTAAAACCCCCCAGCAATGGCAAAACTTTTGTGCTGTGTATTATTCAGTGTTGAGAAGTACAAGTATTTTGTTTCACAGCTACCCTGGTAGCGTATCATTTCCACCATTACTCAGGGGAGGGGTATGTCTGAATATACATGTATAGTGATTTCCTGCTTTGATGTGGTCCATGCATATTGTGGGAAGCCCACCATAAGTGGAACTCTTAATGTGAACGTATTTGCAGAAAACAGTAAGTGTAACAATGCATGTCACAACATGAACACCTACATGTACATGTAATGTACATACATACAACTACATGTATGGTCAAATAGAATACACTTCTCCTTGACTCAGCTTGACTTACATGTAGCATTGTTGGTTATGCACATACTGTACACGTACGTATATTGGGTATCACTTTTGATTCAGCTGTCTGATTGAATCGTAATTAATCCAGTCTTTAGCATGGCTCAACATATTAACTCCTGGAATTTTAACAAATTTTTGCAGGAAAATCTTGTTGAGGCCAAGCACCACACCCTTGCGAGAAGTGAAAGAAGCTGTCTAACTGACAAAGATCTCAAGCCAAATGCATCAACAAGAGATCAACTCAATGTTAGTTAAATTCTATATTGCTAATGCTGTTTTTGAATCCGTTCTTACTGTTACATGTTCTCAGGTTACATGCGTGTGTGTGTGTGCAATACTGCATATTTATACAGGGTGTCCACATAAAAGTATAGCGAGATAAAAATTACTGTAATACCAAAACTACTTTATATATGGGAAAGAGAAATATATCTCTAAATAGGGCAGAATGCCCTCTTTGCAATGGTATACAGCTTGTGATGTTATTGACACAGATGAGTGAACAAACTAGACCGGTGTTGAGGGTACTGAAATCGGCACAGTGACAAGTGTGCATGTGTGATTAACAAGGGTAGACCATGCAAGTGTGCAGAATACCAAATTTAAAGAATGCTTTAAGAACGCATTCTTGAAAACAAGGAATGTGCCTAAATCAATCTTATCTGCTTTGTTTTTGCCACTTACCTCATCAGTTTAATGTGCTAAGTCCTCCACATGGCCACCATTTCTGTCAACGCATATCTGACATCTCCGTAACATGTCCCTTACTGGTCATCTGATCATTTTAACCACTTCCTGCCGGGCGACCCATTTTCGAGCACATACATGTAGGCTTTATATGCAGAGCCGGGAAGCCCGGAACTGGGACAAAAGAGTTGGGCCTTATAACAAAAGACCGTGCTCAGCACAAAAGACTGAGCTGTTGGGCATTACCGACATTTTTTCGCTCTCAATAGTGGAGAAATTCCAGCCTTGTTTTGAAACAGTATGCCACGGTTTGAGGCATTTAGAGCGAGCGGATTACCTCCGGGGACAAAAACACTCCATCACCACAGCGATGAGCCACACAGCACCGTTGCACGCTAATCTGGCCCCTATTGAAAAGAGGTTAGCAGTGCACTGTGCCGGTTTCGGGAACAAAAGAATCTTACGTAACATCGCACAATCTGGGCTCTTTTTCCAAGGCTGCAGGCCTGGCTGAAATATTCAGGAGTCAATGAATTTTATTTGTCAGCTTTAGAATAGTGCCCAAAGAGTCCTTCATTTTGGTATAAATGGCCATTAAATGAAATGATGAATTTTTGAAGAACTTTGAAAACGGAAAATCTTGAAAATGAGCCGGCATCTTGTCTTGCTCAAGAAAAATCCACCCGGGAGCAAGTGGTTAAGGTCTTGATGGAGATTATTGACTTCTTCCACTATTCTTGCATGTTAACATCCTGAACATTAGCTGAGGGTGTAGTGAAAATTTGGTTATGCAGGTAATGCCATAAAAAGAAATCGCCTTCACCCCACATGCTGAATTTTGTTATCAGTATGCAACTTCTCACAGTTCTTAAAGCAAAAACATTTGGTATTCTGCACACTTGCATGGGCTACCCTTGTTAATTAATCACATATGCAAACTTGTCACTGTGCTGATTTCAGTACCCTTAACACCGGTCTGGTTTGTTCACTCATCTGTGTCAATAACATCACAAGCTGTATACCATTGCAAAGAGGGCATTCTGCCCTATTTAGAGATATATTTCTCTTTCCCATATATAAAGCAGTTTTGTGATTACAGTAATTTTTATCTCGGTATACTTTTTATGTTGACATCCTGTATTTATTAAAAGTTTCTATGACTACATCGGGTCTTTCCTTTTTTAGCTTGTTACCATGGTTACCTATTGTGATATAACATGCTAATGATATAGTTTCCATAAGACCAGAATCTTTTTGTTTCTACTTCACTCAGTGTACAGATACTTGTTCCTTTAACCACTTGCTGCCGGGATTCCGATTTCAAGCACATATTCTTTATATGCGTAGCTGGGGTCTCCGAAATCAGACAAAGGGAACTGGGCCTTGTAACAAAAGACTGTACTCGTAACAGACGACCAGGCTGCTGGGAATTACGAACATTTTTTTCACTCTCAATAGTGGAGATAATCCAGCCATGTTTTGAAACCGTATACCACGGTTTGGGGCATTCAACGCGAGCGGATGACCACCGGGGACAAAAGCGTTTCACCACCAAAGCGTTGAGCCACACAGTACCACTGAATGCTAATCTGGCCCCTTTTGAAAAGAGGTCGGCAGCGCACTGTGCCAGTTTCATTGGACATTGGATGAACAGTTTGTTTCGACTTTTCATGATGATAGCGAAGATGAGAAACATTCTTATTGCTGAAGTTTTAGTCTTATAGACATCACATTACTGAAGACCTTGATTGTACATGGAATTGTTTTCATTAAATTAAAACCAAAAACACAAAAATGACAAAAACCAAACACAATATAGCAAAGCACCCACTAAAATGGCGAGTTGATGTCATTAACTGATTATGATACACTGAAACAATTTTAAATAGACAATCACATTGTTGTCATTTTAAAATGCTTCAGTGCAGGCGTCACGTGAACTTGTATACATGCTCTATTTATGATGACTTTACAGTCTGTCGGACAAAAATTCCTTGGAGCCAGCGATTCAGAATTGATTTGAGATGTTCACACATACTGGTATGTTCACCCAGCACTGCCTGTGTATCAATTTAGTTGATAAATGGGATTGTATGGGGCAGTGCATGACAGGGATAGCCATATTCCGGTCCAGTCTCCTGCGACTATGGCTTCGAATTTTGATCAAAAGAGGCAGCGTTGGAGAACGGTAGCCAGTATTTGATACTTGTGCATGCCGTAGTCTCTCACGGTGATGCTGCACCGTGTGTTACCAACACAGAGTGCAACATGAACGATTGAAATATTTCTTTTGGGGGTTTTCCTGAAGACATGCCCTCGTATATATTTGCATCATTTGGACGTTAATAATGATACACATGATAAAGCCAAAGGTAGAAGAGTTTTTTAAAGTGATATTGCACCATTTTATGCAACATCATCATTAGAAGCCAATATCGATCCTTTGACATATCATAAACTGATTGCATCAACACCATTAACCACTTGCTGCCGGGTGCTTTTTTTAACCGTTATATGCGCTGCCAGGCTGTTTTTTTCATATTTTCGTTTTTCAAAAATCTTCAAAAATTCATGTCTTTTTCTGAACACCTAAACCCCATAAAATGAGTGTCCCTTGGCGAGTGTAGCCCCTACAAGCAACTTCATTGACCCTTCGGTTTTGCAGCCACGCTGCCCGTTCTGTTCAGAGCCCCCATTGTGTAGTGTTACATAAGGGCTCTTTTGTTCAGGGCCTTGGCCCAGTGCGTTGCTATGCTGCCGTGTTGCTATGCAGAGCAATTGACGGTCAAGACCTCAGCGTGTAATATGCGGTGAGTGAATGGGAAGTTGTGTCCACATGCTTTGGGCTTTGTAAACTGTTCAATGAGTGTTGGCCATGACGGACAAATGAATCATGCTGTAAAAAGTGGGGTCTAAAAGTGTGAGTTTTTTGCGGCGCTGCTGCATACAACTTTTGCTATTTTTTGAAGCAATTGGGTTTTTTTCTGTTATATATTTTCCCATCTACAAAACTTGTATCTCCCCCAAACCACTCACATATTTTATCTCCCAACTTGTTAATTTTTCCTCCCACAGTGTAAGTTTTAGTTCAGAATGGATATTTCCTTCCCAAACTTTATTTCCCCAACAATTTCAAGTAAAATCTTAGTAACCAATAAAATCAGTACACATAGAAATACACACACAGACAAATATTTGGAGAGAACTTCTTTTTCTCTTATTTTCTTCTTGTCATTTCTCTTGTGTTTTCTTTTCATTTCTCATTGAAATAGTTGAACTCATAAAAGTAGTAAAATAAATGTCCACTATTTTAATCAAATAAAAAGCAAAACTCATAAAAAAAGGCAAGAATGAGCAAACTCCTAACACCGGTGCAAGGAATGAAAAGGATGAAAATACAACGTCCTCAAAGTAATGCTTTCCAGAAACTTTGTCTTTTTGTCATTTTTTTCAAAGGTTGAAAGTATGATCAATTAATGAAACCATTACAAGGAAATGTGCCACTTTTTCAAGAGATGAAAATACAACATCCTCAAAGCAGTACTTTCCAGAAACTTTGTCTTTTTCGTCATTTTTTCAAGGGATGAAACTATGACAACTCCTAAAACCACAAGTAAATGACATATTGTTTTACACCAGATAAGTGGGGCATCAAGTCATGAAAAATACAAAAAATAATGTCTGTGATAATGTCCATGAAAGTAAATTTTCAAAGTGTCAATTAGTGGACAGTATGGTATTCCTTGAAGCAGGGGGCGACACAGGGGCTGGTGGCACGTGTCGCACTCGAAGTGTGTCTTCTTTCGCTGACCACGGGAAGCACAAAGGACACACTGCCGGTAGCGGAAGTCGCCATAGCTGGTCCTCTCAAAGTCCACGGGGAAGTGGCGGCCGACAAAGCGGGAGTTGGTGGCTGGTGGAGTATCGTGCTGAGGGGGGTACTCGGGCAAGGGCCCATTAAACAGCAGCTCATGGGCAAGACTCAAGCGGTAGTCGAGGAAGGAGAGGCGTTGACCAACGGCCAGGTACATGACGTAGCTGTTCACCAGCGTCAAGTCGAGCAGGTAGAAGAAGAGCTTCTTGTACCACATGAGGGACTTACAAGTAGCTCGATGATTTGCCGCTAGTTGGTAGCTATTGACAATGCCCCCAATCAGGGCGTTGTATTCAATGACACAGGTCGGTTTCTACTTTTCCTGCCCTGTCCTGTCTTGCTTGCCGGTGCCACGGATGTCTGCCGTATGCACGGTGGAGAGCATACGGATGTTGCGCTTGTCTCGCCACACCATGGCCAGGAGAGAACCACTGACGCCCAGGTCGGCCGACCGGGACGCTGTTTCGCCCCGCTTCAGCTTGATGGACTGCAGGTCTTTCGGCATCCCTTTTCTGTTGGCCTTGACGGTGCCGACTACATTCAACTTCTGGTTGTGAAGTCGTCGAAACAAATCGGGACTGCTGAAAGCCCTTGCTGCTTAGGTCATTCACCAGGTCCATCACCACTTGTGTAGTTGCTGGGAGGTCTCTTTTGGCCGGTGTAGATTTTGAAGTTGTAGCAGTACCCGGCGGCACTCCCGGTGCTCTGGCACAACCTGTACATCTTGATGCCGAAGCGGGCCCTCTTTCTGGGGTTGTAGGTAGCGAAGCGGAGACACCTGTAGAACTTCAACATGGAGTCGTTGACGGAAATGTCCCATTGAGGAGCGTAGACAGTGGCAAACTTCTGAGCAACATGGTCGACGACTTGGCGCACTTTGAAGAGGGGGTCGGTGCAGTCCTCC